ACTGACTTATTTCACTTAGCATAATGTTCTCTAGGTCCATCCATATCGTTGCAAATGGTACGATTTCCTTCTTCTTTATAGCTGAGTAATACTCCATTGTGTAAATATACCATAGTTTCTTAATCCACCTTAATCTTATTCCATTCTTAATCTACCGATGGGCATTTCGGTTGTTTCCAAGTCTCGGCTATTGTGAATAGCGCTGCAATGAACATAGGGATGCATATATTTTTTCGAATTAATGTCTTGGGTTTTTCTGGATAAATACCTAAGAATGGAATTGCTGGGTCATAAGGTAGTTCCATTTCCAGTTTTTTGAGATACCTCCATAATGATTTCCATAGTGGCTGCACCAATCTGCAGTCCCACTAACAGTGCACCAGGGTTCCCTTTTCCCCACAACCTTGCCAGCATTTGTTGTTTGTTGATTTATTGATGATAGCTATTCTGACCAGAGAGAAGTGGTATCTCATTGTGGTTTTTATTTGCATCTCTCTAATGATTAGTGAGGTTGACTGTTTTTTCATATGCCTGTTGGCCATCTGTATGTCCTCTTTAGAAAAATGTCTCTTCATATCCTCTGCCCATTTTTTAATTGGGTTAAAACAGTAGAGTATTAAAACAGTAGAGTTTGGTGGGAAATCTCTTTCTGAAGTATCCAAAGTAGCAAAACTATGATTATGACTGTTTTTGGTGGATTATCACCTTTAGTTTCAAGAGTGCTTTCTATTACCAAAAAGTACATCATCACCCCTTTTAAAGCCATTTTGAGCCCTTTACAAAGAATACTTTTTTTACTCTTGACCAGTGGTTTTCAACCTGGTGAGATTTTTCCCCATCCCTTACCCCCCCAGAGGATCAAAATGTCTAGAGATATTTTTGGTTGTTATAACACTTCGGGGGAGGAGGAGTAGACATACTACTGATATCGATGGGTCAAGGCCACGGATGCTGCTAAACATTCTGCAACACATAAGACAGCCCGCACAGCAAACACAGAATTATCCTTCCCCAAGTGTCAGTAGACGGAACTTGAGAAAATGCTGCTCTGGACCACAAGGATTAATGACTTCTCAAGGTCACATATTTATTATCTTAACTTAGAAGTGGGTCAAAACTGTGGACATAGAGGTAACATCTCAATTCAGCAGCCCTTAACTAGAACAATTTACATAAATTTTTAGAGACTTAGTAGTCAATAGTGCTTATTTTTCTTTTTGTGTGTGTGTAGGGTTTGTGAAACAGGATCTGACAACCAACCTCTCAGTGATAATCGACAAACTACTTGTGAATATTTTGTTGACAGCCTTTTTGAGGAAGCTCAGAAGGTTGGGGCCAAATACTTGTCTCCCACTGAACAGAAGAAACAGGTAAATGTCCCTACCGTTTTTCTCTTCCAGTGTTTCTCAATATATGGATCTTTTCGGGGTTCCATGAGGTCAAAACTGTTTTCATAATAATAATAAGGTATTATTTACCTTGTCACTGTGCTGACTTTAGTAAAGCTGCTGGCCCCTCTAACTAGTGATAGTAATTACTGTATTCTTGCTTGCACTTGCGGGGAGAAAAAAAAAATGCTAGTTTCAATTAAGAATGTTCCTGATTGGGCCGGCCGAGTGGCGCGATGGTTAAGAACTGGCTTGGGATGCCAGAGGGCCCCGGTTCGGATCCCACATATGAGGGCCAGTGACACTGCAAATGGAAGAGATAAGAGGGCATCATGAGAANTGTGTGTATATATATATATATATATATTTTTTTTTTTTTTAGCTGAGTCATCCTGCTACCTGTTGGCAGCTCAGCGGCAGCTCATCTCGGGCCAGGAATCGAACTGGCGACCCTGTTGCTCAGTTGCCCAAGAGTGCGAGCTCTTAACTAACTGAGCCACTTGGCTGGCCCCACATATATATATTTTTAAGATAGTCTTTTTATCCCAGTTTTTATTATAAAAAATTTCAAACATACACACAAATGTGGAGAATAATAAACTCCCATGTATGCTTATTACACAGCTCTAATAATTAGCAAATCATAGCCATTTTGGTTTCAATTATACTCCCTACACTCCCACTCCACTTGACTATTTTGAAGCAAATTCCAGTTAAGGTATTTCACTTAGATATCTCAGTATGTATCTAAAATAAGTACTTTAAAAAGATTATACCTACTGTTAAGCAAAAAAGGAAACAGCAAAAACTTTCACAGCGGAAAGCTTTCTAAAAGAAAGGTTTATTGAGCCATATGCTAGCCAGAAAAGGACCAGGTCCTGGGACATGAAGTCTAAATCACCAGCAGCACGCCTAGGTAGGGGAACAAACATGTCCACGTCCTGGAATTGACAGGTACTTTTATACATTAGGTTTTGGGGAGGAAAGATGTAAGTTGTTTTGAAAGAATTTACATCGGCTACAGATAAGGGGAGCGGGAAAAGGTGAAGAGGGTGCAGTTCTATGATAGGTTCAGTCCATCCATCCGTCAGGAGGAAATATTAACTTCTTTGGATTGGTTACAGGCAACAGTCGTGAAAGTTCATGTATAAGCAGGATGCAGTGGCATCTAATGGCCTAGCGGTCGCCTAGGAGATGCCTGGAGGTTGATTCAAAGCCCCAACATACTTTCAAGAATGTGAGCCGTGAGGCGGGTGGGGATGAGGGAGAAGGGGAAGTGATTAGACAGCATAAGTTGGTAACTACAATATCGCCACAGGGATATGAAAGACAGTTTGGGGAATATAATCAATAATGTAAAGTTTTTGTAGGGTGCCAGATGGGCACATGTTTTACTAGGAGACCACTTCATGGACAGTGCAGAGGCTTGACCACTGCACTGTACACCTGAAGCTGAAGCTGAATAATACTGTATGTCAACTATAATGTAATATATGTATAGTCACGGGATATGAAGTATAGTATAGGGAATAGAGTCAGTGGAATTGTAATAGATATATATGATGTCAGAGGGTCAATAGGTGGGGAGAGGGGGTTATCGCTTTGTGAGATGTGAAATGTCTATTACATTGTTTTGTACACCTGAAAATAATAATAATTAAAAAAAAAAGATCAGTTGGCTGAAAGCTCACGCAAGAGTGCGAGCTCTGAGCAACAGCGGTTCGATGCCCGGCCCGAGCTGAGTTGACGCTGAGCTGCCAACAGGTGGCAGGATGGCCCAACTGAAAAACTTAAAAAAAAAAAAAAAAAAGAATGTGAGCCATCTTGTTAGTTGGCCCACAGCTATTAACTGGTTAATGACTCTTTTTCTCACTCTCTGCCTGCTGTAGTTTAATTTAGAACATCTCAGAGTTTTTCTCTTGTCACTGTAATTCTACCGTCACACCTATAAAAGGAATGATTACACCATGTACCATCAATTATCCAGTCAATGTTCAGGTGTACTTGAGTCTTTCATAGCTTTTTTCCTAATCAGTTCCTTTAAATAAAAACCTAAGTACAGTCCATGTATTGTAATTAGTTGGCATACCTCTTAATTATAATTTTAGCAAGAATCCTGGTAGGTAGGGTTAGCCAGAACCCCCCACCTTTGATACCTGATCAAATTCCTCATTCCCCAGGTGATATCTGATCACCCTGGCCCATCTTCAGCAAGAATCCTGTTAGGTCGGTTTAGCAAGTATCCCCACTTACCCTTGAAGTTTCCTCTTAGTAATTTTTCATCCACTGACTTCCACCCTGCTCTTTGTTCATGTTATATTAAGAATTGAACCCAGTTTCACACTGAGGTCTCTTCTCCTATTGCAGTAGTTCCTGAATAGGATCTATTAATAGAATCTGTTTTTACTTCTTTAATTACTGTCCAGCTCTGCTTTTTCATTGACATATATATTCAGAAACCCCACATCTAAAAATCTACCCCATGACACTTGAGCAAAAATATAAAAGGTACTATTTACAGCATTCATTGTAATAGTAAAAGCCTGCAAAACAAAAAACACCTAAATGTCCACTAAATGTCCATCAGTAAAGGGTTTGTTGAGTAAACTATGGTAAATCTACACAGTGGCATACAGCAGTAAAAAATTTTTATGGCTCCAGAGTGATCAATAGGATATACTGTTAAGTGGAAAAAGCAAGATGGAGAAAAATGTGTATAAATATACTATTTAAAACAGAAGTGGATATGAATATATATATATATATATATATATATATATTCTATAAGCTGGAAGAAAGAGGGAAAGAGAACAGGGTAGAAGGAGCAAAGATGGAAGCTGGATTTCTCTGAATATATCTTGTTTTTTAGGCCAACTTTGGAACCATATAAATATTTTTCACACTTAAGAAACAAATTAACTGAACTATCAAGTTGGTGACAAAACCACACAGAAAGGAATTATTTTGAGTAACTTTAAAATATAGTAATTTTACTATATATCTTAGTGACAGCTCTGAGTTTGGCCACTTGTTCTTAAGACCCTTTTAGTGTTACTTTAGGGCTACATAACTTACGTTAAAGAATATTAATTTATACCTAAGAATGAATTTAATATGCTAAATTAAGAACTTTGGCTTTTGTTTCTTTTTACTTTTACAGTAAGGCGAAAGAGAATGAAAGAAGTAGATAATCTTGAAAGTATAAAAGAAGAATGGTAAGTTAATTCAAGCTGTGAATTTTGTTTGTTATTAATGCCTTTGTTAGTATCCTTCTCTGTTTTTACTGCCTTTCACTGACTGGTACAGTAAGTTTTCATTATGATTATCTCAGTTATATACCTAATAGTAATACATTTTAAAGTGTTGTTGTTTTTTACCATAGCTGCATTGAATGGATTTTAGTGAAGTTAAATCTTTGTTATTAATAAAAAAAATTGTTACATTTTTCTCTGTATATAAGTGAGAAATTCAAGTAACTCTTTACTTCGTTAGCCTCTTGTGTTGGAGTCATAGTGGAAATTTAATGGCTTTAGAGTCAGATAAACCTAGGTTTGAATCTCAAATCTCATCTCTGTCTTATACTACCTCTCTGGCCTTTGAGCACCTGAGGTAGATTTTTGAGCTTTAATATCTCATCTATAAACTGGGGGCTGTACCTCAAGTACCTGAAAGATTTGGGGAAGAATTGGGTACCAATATAATATAAAGTACTTAGCATAGTGTTAGCACCTCACGGCACTCAGTAGATGGTAAGACACAAAGTGTATGGTTCTTATTAGTACAGAATACTTTATTCTCACTTGTATGAGGTGAAATATTTATCTTGTATTATGCTCTTTGTTTTGTGTACTTGAGATAAATTTCTTACATTCATAACTCACTTAAGGAGGTAGATAAGTATTTATTTCATACTTACAAGCACTTTATAAATGCTTCTATACCAAACAAATATCATTTGATATTTTTTCACTAGAGTGGTTATTGTTTTATATAAGTACAGAGGGTACCCAAAAAATGTATACACATTTTAAGACAGGAAAAAACTATTAAAATTGTAATACTCGGGCCGGCTGAGTGGCTCGGTTGGTTAAGAGCTCGCTCAAGAGTTTGAGCTCTGAGCAACAGCGGTTCAATGCCCTACCCAAGCTGAGCTGCCGCTGAGCTGCCAACAGGTAGCAGGATGGCTCAGCTTTTAAAAAAAAAAAAATTGTAATAATATATACCGATCACAAAAGATGAATACAAGTCATGTGTATACATTTTTTTGGCACCCCTGGTATTTGATACTAACTGTATAATTGTGAGATTGTGTCAGGGGCCTCCAAGGCTGAGAGGATTCACCCAAAGTCCGGATGACCTAATGAAGGTACCGTAACAAACACCAAAACCTGAGCTTTTAGATGGTATCCTCTACTGCTACACAGCTGTACTGTAAAGAAAGGAGAAAATCGTTAGTATTATGAGAAATCATCTCAGGGTGTCATCATTTTTGTGTAAGAAGTATCATGTCATTGCCTTGGAAAAGACATAATATGGAGTTATTAAGAGTAAATATAAGGAGAATTACCTACAAGAGTAAAAAGAATGTACATTGCCCTGAGTGTCAGCAATTTATTAACAATGTAATAGTTGCTATTTTGAGAGATACTCTAACGCAGTGATTATGAGTGCAGACATTAGTAGCCTGGATTCAGTGTCCAGCTCTACCTCCCAGTAGCTCTGTGATCTTGGGCAAATTACTTAAGCTTTTTCTTTATCTATTAAATGAGAATAAAAACAATACATGCCTTTTAGAGCACTGTGAGGATTGAATGAGTTAACACATGTAAAGTACTTAGAATTGTTCCTAACATGTATTAATAAATGTTCAGTAAATGTTAGCTATTAAGATAGGCTTTATAGCTTATCAAGGTTAGGAGCATAGTCTTGGAAGACAGAGTAACAGGGTTTAAATTCTGTCTCTGCTACTTATTAGCTGTGTAGCCTCAGACATGTAACTGAACCTCTCTGTGACTCATTTTTCTTATCTATAAAATGTGGATGAGAGTATCTACTTTAATAGCTCCTGGCACAGTATATGAGCTATAAAAAGTGTTGGTTATTATTTAAAGAATCTGAGAAGTTGTATCTCAGTACACTTATGAATTTTTTATACGACTTCAAAAAAGATTAGCCAGAAACCATCATTTCTATCAAATAAATCTTAGGTAATTTTTCCTATATAATATAAATACAAAATAAAAACCAGTAGATGTGAGTGGGCAAAATGGGTGAAGGGAATCAAAAAGTACAAACTTCCAGGTATGAAGTAAGTCATGAGGATATAATGTACAGCATGGCGACTGTAGTTATTAGTACTGTATTGCATATTTGAAAGTTGGTAAGGTAAACCTTAAAAGTTCTCATCACAAGAAAAAAATTTGTAACTGTATGATGATGGATGTTAACTAGACTTATTGTGGTGACCATTTTGCAATAAATACAGATAATTGAATTATTATGTTGTATACCAGAAACCAATATAATGCTGTTGTCAGTTATACCTCAATTAAAAAAAAGAAAAAAAAACAGTAGAGTATTTTTTTCTTTTTTTTAATTAGCTTCAGGTGTACAGAACAATGCAATAGTTATCCTTTTCACCCTTACAAAGTAACAACCCCCTTCCCCCATCCACTGCCCTCCCACCCCCGATACCATACTTATCTGTTACAATTCCATTGACTCCATTCCCACACTCTACTCCACATCCGTGACTATATGTATATATAATCATAGTTGACATACAATATTATTCAACATCAGCTTCAGATATACAGTGTGGTGGTCAGGCCTCTACACTGGCTATGAAGTGATCTCCCTAACAAGACATGAGTCCAACTGACCCCCTAAAAAATATTTACAACATTATTGATTATATTCCCAGACTTTTCTATCCCTGAGGCCATATTGTAGTTACCAATTTGTATTGTCTTGCCTCTTACCCTTCTCCTTCATCCCCACCCCCTCCCAACTAGTAACCCTCAG